CCCCAAAACCCCAAAACCCCAAAACCCCAAAACCCCATTTATATAAAAAATAATTGAAAATAATTCAATCTCTCAGAGATTCCTAAAGCCTAATACTATGAAGAAATTTCCTCTAATCCTTTAGTGTTTGCTTCACGAATGGAAGGAGGCCCAAGAGGGGTCCTCCTCTCAGGCTGACCTCTAGATGAAGCGGCAAATAACTTCTGAAGTTTATAAATTTTGGTCTTGATCCTCTCAGCTTGCTTAGTCATCGATTTCCGGCTTTTCAATGTTCTTCGAAACAACATCAAAGGCTTGCCTTTGATGGACTTTGTACGATGGCCTTTAAATATATGGTTTCTACGTCCTTCCTTAGTAATATCAAGATATCGCTTAGTAAACTCTCCAGACTGAGTGCCTAAGCCTTGAGCCTCGAATAACTTCCCTGGCTGGAACTTGATAAAGTTCTCAGATTTAGCCTTTTGTAACGAGAATGTACTATTTTTGGTCTAGAATTGGTAAAAAGTATTACTTTTGGGCTTGATTTTGCTCTTCTTTTAGGATCACAAGGCCCAATATCACCAAATAAGCCCATGAGATCTTTATTATTTCGTCCTAGTAGAGTGGTCGTATTCCTTCACTGTGTCATACCAAGTCTTCTGAATTTGTGAGGCATTGTATGAAGGATGCACTAGAAGTTAAATGAATTGTCCTACAAAAGACCACATGTTCAGAAATGGCATTAAGGTTTCTCTTTTTGGAACTAGACTTCTTTTTGTATGGTGAACATGGCACAGAGATCAAACAAGGCCTTACCAGGGCTCTCTGAATGCTTTTGGTTATCTTCCTCTCTATTTGAAACTAATTAGAGTAGCTTAGGCTGATAAGAGCAAACATTTCTGAAAAAGCTTAAGATCTGCTACCCTCAACAGATTATATCGTTGTAGAGATAAAATGTAATCACGAAACTTTTCATTGAGCCTTGAAACCTAACTGGGATGCAGGCATATAGCTCATTTAGCCTTGAAAACTAAGTATTTCGCTGAAGAAATCTTACTTTGCTTGTTTGAAACCGAGAATAACTTCTGAATTGGTGTCTAGAGAATCAATTAAGATTCAAGAAAGCTATTTAGAACACAAATAATTTTATGCAGAGCAGCAGGCAGAAGTCTCATGAATGCTCTGTAATGCCTCCTAACCCTCAAGATTAAAGGAAAACGCTCTAGGGGAGCAATAAGAGAGATTCTAAGGTAGACCTACCTTTCTCTTGATACTTCTCTTGCTTGAGATATCAAATTTTGGGAGTGACGATTCTTTCATTTCTACTCAATTTGTAAATAAAAATAGCAAAAAGAGCTGACTTGTTTGCAAACACAAGGAAGAGTCTACACGCTACCCAGAATAAAGTACTTGACTCTTGAATCTTAAACCTAGCTGTGCTCTTTAGCAGAAGACTTGCTATACAGCTTCAGTGGAGCCACTGCCGTAATGGAGTAAATAATGACCGGATTACCTTTTCAGGACATTTTTTAGATAATTTTATATCTAACCTTTTTATATCCCTTCATAAGTAATGGGGTTTTGGGGTTTTGGGGTTTTGGGGG